AAATAGACTGCGTCTTATAATGGTTTAATGGCACTTAAACATTCTCATGTTTGATGGTTTTGCATTTCAGTGCAACTGTTGTATGTAATATTGTTTCCTATACCACGTGCTCGCCAAGGTTGAGTACTTTCTTGTTTGATTGCAGAATGCCAGGGAGAGTTGGACAGAACTTTTTGCCCCTAACTTCTTTATTTGGGAGGGCAGGGTGGGAAATGAAGATTTGGTAAAGATGAAAAATTCTGTGAATTAATGTCAGTTTTGCTAAATTCTTTGTGTGGCTGGGACCCCCCATATGAGATTTCCCCCCCAAAACAACCTTTCCAGAGAGCTATTTGATGTCTTTCATTTAACAGGACTATTTTATTTTGGGAGAGGTGGTTAGCTGTGTTAGTCTAAAATCATGCAGAAGGCAGGACAGAGATGTGCCTTTTAGGATGCGTCTACACATTGCCATATGGCAACGTTGCTACAGTGCTGAGCTTTAGTACTTTCTTTTAGAAGTACTAAAGCACGGCGTAATAACCACTGTGTGCACACACTTCGATTTCATTGCTAGGTCACCATAGCGGCGCGCTAAAACAGGGGAGCACATTGCTATGGTGACATAGCTGCTGATCACGCATAGACCCATGTGATAACTATGGCACCGCAGCATGCCATATGGTGACATAGTGCATCACTACATCGCTGCACAGCGACACACCCTTAGAGTAACTAAATCAGAGGCACATAAGTTTTTGTGAGCCTGAGCTCACAGCATCTGATGAAGTTAGTTCAGGTTAACAAAAACTTACACATCTCTGATTTAGTTACTTGGTAAAGTGCATCTTGACTCTGCCTTCTATTTTATTTTGTGTATTTCTAAATAAGAGTTTTGTTCCAAGTCAAAAATTTTCATTTGTTTCAAGATAAAAAAAAATTTCAGCCAAAAAAAAAAAAATCCAGAAAATTCTGTTTTGGACTTGAAAATATTATTTTTAAGTGCCAGCAGATAAAAAAAAAATGTTATTTACAAAGTTTGAACCATGGGGACAAATCTTTGGTTGGATCCTTTAGAAATTACTGTAAAATAACTCATACCAATAGTAGTACTCTCCTGATACTCTAATTAGAGTAAAAACACATCCTGCCACATGCTGTATAAACACAACAGTAGATACTGTCTCCACCTTAAAGATTTCAGAGTCTAGAATATTAGATTAGTATGGAGTTAGCAGTCTGCTCTTCCATGGTATGACACGAGGGGGGGAAATTACATTTGAAATTACTTTGAGCCATTGAGGGATTAGTTCTGTGCACTTGACTTATTAACTGATTTTGATTTTTTCGTTTTAAGAAAATGGATACATGGCATGTGACAGTCAAGGAGACATGGACAGTCTGTCTGTTAGTGAATGGGTTCTGCCACTAGATTGCTGTTTGCTGCATAGGGCTAATCATAGAGAGAATTATAGTCTACACGTCACCCTATCTTGACGTAGCAACACGCTACGTCACCATATGATGCTCAACAACGACATAGCAACCATGTGAGTCTACATGTGGTCAGCAGCTACTTTGCCATAGCGGTGCACTCCCCTGTTTTAGTGCACTGCTATAGCGAAGTAGCAGCGAAAACTAACCATGCACCACATGCACAGCGCAGTATGGGCATTTACTGTGCCATGCTTTAGTACTTCCTTTTCAAGAAAGGGATCCAAAAGGAAGTACTAAAGCATGGCACAGTAACAACATCACCATAGGGTGATGTGTCAACATACCCGTAAAGAAGTAAGGCTGGAAGGGACCTTCAGAGGTCATCTAGTCCAACCCCATGCCTGAGACAGGATCATCCCTAGATATTCAAACCACCCTATAAAACCATCATCTAAACTCTACATAAGACTACTGTCAACCCCAGGGCCATCCCTGGGGATGTGAATCGGGGTGACTGCCCCGGGACCTGCGCTTTGTGGGGTCCCCACAGAGCTGGACGAAGCGGCCGCATCCAGCCACTCAGCCCCAGGCCCCACATCCTGCTTGAGTTGGCTCTGGTCAACCCTGACACAACACAGACCTAACACCCTGACCTTCCACAGGCAAAGCAGGGGAACCACAGCAGCCAATATCTTGCTTCTAAAAAATGATTTCAATATATGCTCAAGAGGTCCCAGGTAGAGGGCCATGCTCCCCACTATAGAGGAAGGCAAAAACCCCCACAGTCCATACCCAGTCTGATCATGGGGTAAAATTCCTTCTTGACTCCAAATATGGTGATTGGTTTGACCTCAAGTAGAGGGGCAAGGCCCTCTAGCCAATAATGTCTGGCTTTACTCCCAGGTGGAGCACTGGCATACCTCAGTCAAAGTCCCCAGCCTTGGCTATAGCCAACACCCAATGCCTCTGGAAAGGCTTAAAAACAAGGAACTGCATCTTTGCCAAAACTGTCCATCTAAAATATAGTCCTCATGGAAGCAAATGAAAAAATATTTTATTTGGTCATTTTTGTCAGTTTCTTTACTCATGAGCAAACATTTTCAATAAAAAAGTGAAGAATATCAGTAAAAAAAGTCACTGAAGCATTTGTGAAAATGAACAGATTCAAACAGCATGTATACACTGTGGCACCCGGCTGCCAGCAGTGAGAGTAGAGCTACTGAACTTCTGCTGACTGTACCCTAACCCACAAGAGGTTTCTTTGCTGGATCTGTTCCCACATTTGAGAAGGCACACCACATTGACTCTCTCTTTACACTGGCTACAGAAGAAGGAACCTGTAATAATAAGGAAACCAGTGCCAGAGAGGGGTGTTTTCACCTTCTTCTGAAGTCTCGAGTGTTGGTTTTAGCCAAGGCTGAGGACTGTGACTGTGTTGTATCAGTGCTCCTCTGGGACTTAACATCCCAAAGGTTCCAGACTACAGGGTCTTGCTCTTCTGCTCAGGGTCAGACTGATAACCACATTTGGGAAGGAAGGAATTTTACCCCAAAATTGGATTGGCAGATACTAGGAAGAGTTGCCTTCCTCTGAGGGCCTGATCCTCTTCCTTTCTCTAACAAATGACTTCCTGTCACGGCACTGGTAGGGCATTGACAGTGCCCTCATCTCTCTGCTTTGCCTTTGGCAAGTTAGGGTGGGTTTTGTGGATGTTTTTGCCTGGTAGTTGTGCAACAAGGTTGTCTGTGCAATTTAAATAATAAGTTACACAGGGGTCAGCAACCTATAGCCTTGAAGGCTGAACCCAGCCAGAGGCACCATTGAGCTGGCTCATGGAGCCAGGGGTCTTCAGCAGTGGTCTGGCAGTGGGGGGATTCTGCGGTGTTGGGGTCAAGAAGAGGGCAGTTTTACCCATGCTGCAACTGAGCAGCAGGGAGAAGCGGTGGTGGCAGCAGCAGTATCCAGGTCCTAATGCCAGCCCTCCTTGGATCAAAGCTGGGTCATTCCAGCCTACCATCAGAAAACATTGCTGAATGCTGCTTTAGACACTTGCATAGGATGGTTTAGGTAGGCAATATTTTGCCTTGAGTACAGGATCGGATTAGATGACCTGCTGAGGTCCTTACCAGCCCAACTTTCTATGACTCTATGAATATGAGATCCTCTAGTGTCCTTAGATGCTGAAAAGTCTCGCAAAATCCTGAACAGGAAAAGGAAATGAAGAAGCAACAGCAGCCAGCTGTAGCCAAGGCAAAGCAATGCACAACACTGAACCCCAGGAAAAGCCAGAGGTATTCCCTGCAAGGAATTACAATTTGGTTCTCTCCACTCACATAAATTTCCCTGGCCCTTACTTTGCATGGGTCTGGCAGAACCTTCTTTCCCAGTAAAACAAAATAAAAGGCCTAAAGTTTAACCCTTAACTGGGAGGAAAGGATTCCAAGGTATGAAAAGAACTTTCTAAAGGACTTGGACAGAGCCACAGTCAGGATAATATTTGAAAAATGAGTTAGTTTCCTAATCTGTGGAAGAATGGTAATGTACTTTTCCCCTGTAAAAAGGGAGGGCAGAAGAACCAAATTACTGGTCTCAGCCTGACATTTAGCCTTGGGAACATAACTGAGAATGCAGGTGATCATTTGTGAAAAATACTACCTGATGGGCTTGTGAAATGCACACAGGCTCTGCCAAACTAACCCTATTATTTGCCCCATTTTTCTTCCCCTAAGTGGATGAGGGGAAGACTGCAGATGTAATAAGCCAGACATTTAAAAGAGATGGGGAAGTTGCTCTATGTAGCTGGTGTAAGACATCAGAGGCACATCTGTACATAATAAAAATCCACCCTGCATTTTCAAAGGCTAATGTTTATATTTGCTTTAAGTCTTTTTCAGTCTGTTGTCTTTGTCTTCTTCTAATTAGCATGGTAAGCTGACCACCAGCAGGTCCAATTAAATGGACTCAACTGTGTATATATTTTTCTCTACCAGCATGTAGCATAAAATGCCTAAAAAACATTGCCTGAACACTGGCAATGAATATTAAATGCTCTCAGACTTGGACTTCCTGTGGTAAGTTTCAACCATCCAGCGGTTTATAGCAAATGATGAAACTGGGTTAACAATGAAAACAAGGTACAATCTTTAGCACGGCACCGTATACCCCAGGAACATCTATGTTATGATGCAGAGTATTCAGGAATATTTTTTAGCATGGTTGGATCTGTCTGCGTGCATGGAGTTCCCTGGGTTTGTTGTCTTAGGTCCTGATTCAGACAGACATTTGAGCACAAGCTTGATCCTACTGACTTCAGTGAGACTTAAGCACATCTGGAGTATTAAGGATGCGCTTAAGTGCTTTGCTGAATTGGATCCCTAGTAGACCCTCATGAAAGGAAAGTGATTTTCAATCTAATAAGGTTATCTTAGTGTGAACATTTTAACTCCATAGATCAATATGCCCATCAGTAGTAAATGACTAATGGGATTTGTCGGTCTTTTTCTTTTTCTTTTTTTTTTTGTTATCAGAATGATGAATTGACTTTGCCTGTTGCTGAAGATTTTCATCTTCTTAATGCATTGCAGATATGTCTAATGGGCACAAACTGTCAGGGTCTGGCAGTAGCCCATCCCAGCCAAAAACATTTCCTCCTGGGGGAATTTCTTCAGATTCAAAATATGATGGTCTGCTTCTCACTGTGGAAAATGTTAAAAAGCTTGAGGAAGAGTGTACAACTCCTAAAGAAGTCCTCGTTAACCAGAAGGTGGAGGAATATATTAAACAAACTAATCTCTCTTTGCTGGAGAGAGCAAGAAGCAGGAATACTAGTAGAGAGTTCGTCCTAGATGAAACCAATCCTGAAGGAGTTGCTTCTCCAACAGAGCTGGATGAAAAATCTGGGAAAACTCATGGGAAAACCTCTAAAGAAATTTCAAAAACAGGCAAGTTATTAACAAGTATTTTGACTGAGTTTTTATTGTCCCTTTAAATATACATTCAGACATAGGTATCTCTGATATATGTTGGAGCATGGTTTTCAAAAACAGTTTCCCCAGGGAAGATAACGGTAAAACCCTCTTTAACTTAAGTCAGAACAGTTAGACCATATCAATCACTTCAGAAAAGCCCCAAACCGGGGGCAACTACATCCTGGTGTCCCTTAACTGCAGGTGCCCAAGTTTGAGAATTGGACCCAAAATTGCTACATAAACAGATGGGGTTTTTTCACCAGTTCTATTCAGTAATGTGGATGGTTAGCTTTGAGATCAGGTTCAGAATTAATCTAAACTCAAGTCTGAATTGTATCTATAGGCCATATTGGAGGCTTAAAAATTCCTGCT